AGCAGGAGGCGGGGTTACCAATCTACTCGCTCTGGAGAGCAGAGTTCGCTGCTTTTAGATGTTGTCGATGTTGTTGTTGACAAATTAATGTGCAGAAATAAGGACCAGCTGTATTAATTATACATGTAAAAGGAGTTTTATGGGGCCCTAGGTAACTGCCTAGTATTGCCTAATGGTTGATTTAACAAGAATCTACAGCAGAACATGGCTTAGTTTATAAAAGAAGCTGCTGCGAGAGGAAACGACCCGAAACGTTTTTTGTTTTTTCTGTTTCAAAATGACCAAATAATAATGTTTGTGTTTCCTGTCAGATCCTGCTGGTGTCGGATTATTTCTACGCCTTCGTGAGGAGGGAGCACCACCTCACCTATGGGCTGTACCTGAAGAAGAAGGACGGCTCGGAGGCCACGCTGGTGCTGAAATAAAACTTGAAGAAATCGTTGAACATCTCAAAGACTGAAAACAAGCTGAGGAGAGAGCGGAGAAAAGCTGCTCTGCTTCGTCATGATGGCACAAACTCGTACGTCCACGTTAGAGCAGCCATGTTGAATGTTTCTGACCGAGGCGGGATGGAAACATGGCTCCTCTGAACCATCAGCTCAGGCCTTCACACCAGATGTTCCTCCTCCTAACACTGACTCTTCAGGAGGGAGGATCTGGACACAGTTTATCCTCAGATGATCATACGGAGAAAATCACTCATCTATGGAAGGCTTTTATTTTGAAGTTTTGCTCTTCTTTAAACATTAAAGATATAGGGAAATGACTGACTGTCCAAACAATTAGTAATTTCTCATCTCACTGTTTTTTATTTTCTTCCCTTTATTTAATAATAATTGTGTTAAAACTGGTTTATTTGCATTTAAAAAAAAGGATTATTTAAAAGTTAATCTGGGAAGTTCCGATCTTACTTTTCTTTCCTGTATTATTGGACCTGCAGAGTCGGATCCTGAATGAGGGTATATCTCTAATTCTAGGCTTAATTAGTGGTTTTCTCTATTATCGCTAAACAAATCCACATTTATTGATGGGAAATGTTGTAACTAGTTAAAGGTTGAAGTTGCATGTTTCACTTTTTCACCGTTTGCAGAGCTGCTACGACATTTCCTCAACCACACTCCAAAAAACAGGTCCAAAAATAAATAGAAGCGTCCTAAAATAAAGGTATTTGAGCAGATAAATGTTATGATCTGCCAATGGAATAAGGATTTTCATCAAAATAAGATTTATGAACTGGAAAGACAATAATAGAGTTGTTGTTTTTTTCTTGTTTTAATCGTAAGTCATCTTATTCCTCTGGCAAATTGTATTACTGGCTCAAAAGAAAGGAAATTCCTATTTATATAAAAAAAAGAAAAATGCTTATTTATTGTACAATTTTGTAGTATTAAACAAAAACTGCAAAAAATGATGTAAAAATAACTTTAAAAAATCTCCAAATATGTGTATTTATCCTTATTTTGAGCAGCTAAGATGATCCATCGGCAGAATTAGTATTTTTACCCTTTTGATATAAGATAATTAGATATTCTACAACCAAAATAACATTTATTTATTTTATTTCAAGCATAAAATCAGCTTATTCCACTGGTGATGTCATCCTTACCTGCTCAGAACAAAGAAAAATACAGCTATGTTAGGACAAATGTGCTGGATTTCAGATTTTGCAATGATGGGCCGCTTTTTTCAGCACACCTCAATTGATGTTTTTTGTTGTTTTTATAATACCTGCTTATGGACCCACATGACGAACAGAGAATAAATACAAACCGATCCAAAACTAGGAAAAACATTCTTAAAATAAATGTATTGTCCCTAATTTGAGCAGGTTAATAAAACGATCAGTCAGTGGAATGAGGATTTATGACCTTCAGATAAAATGCTGTGTACTGGAAAATAAGATAATAGTTAATTCATTCTTATTTTAAGCATCAATAATCTTAATCTGTTGGGAAATTTTCGTGCTTAGCTGCTCAAATTAAGAGGAAAAACACTTATTTCAAGAAAATTGCTTATCCAAAGCGGAGCATAAAGCAAAACGGTTTTAAATCTGATCAAACCCATCAGGGTTGTTATTATGGACCAAACTGGAGTTGTTCTGACGTCTTCTTATATTTTCTAACCAAACAAATGTGCATTTAATGGGGGAAATGTTCCTTAAAGCTCTTGATGGACGTGTGATAAGTTAGCTTAGCATTTATTCATTTAACCCTTTCTTATGCATGTGTGACGAGTCTAATCGTAAAATGGTTCTATAAGGAAATGCCCCTCTTAGGATCCACATCAGGTCGTGGTTAGCATAGCTTAGCATGACGAGCAGAAAGCCAAAGTGGGACCCAGTAAATCATTAAGGTTTTTGCTCCGTTTAACTCAGGCCAAACATTTTTTCGATCGAAAACTGACATTAAAAAAAATCTGCTGACTGTCCTGCAGGAGATTGAGCCACATGTTTAACTTTACAGCCTCCTTATACTTTAAAAGAGCTGCATTTAACACACAGGGATCTTTTTTCCCCCCCTCTCTCTACTGTTTGAACTTTTTCTTTATTTTATACAAACAGTTGCTGAGTTATTAGAACCATTTTGTTGCTCCTGGCTTTAGGTTAATTGTTGGAAAAGAAGGTTTCTATCTTTTCGATCTTCCATTCATGCATTAGCTGCTTGGTTGATACAGGTGATGCTAGATTTCATCAAGAACAAAAATGTTTTTCTTTTGCTTGTTTTTTTTTTTTTTTTATATGTCGGCTTTCTGGACAGCAGTTTAAAAAGATTGAAAATATTAGGACTTATTTTCTGCACTGAAACCTGAGACAAAATGTTTGTTTCTGTTTTTTTCTACACTGAATGTGTTTTGAAGAGACGTTAATATTAAGTTTGTCATTTTGACTGAGTGAAGCTTTCACTCGCATCTCGTGTATTAAAGCCTGAGATTTTGTTTTAATTTGTCTTTTTTGGACCCATTAAACATCCAACCATAAACATTACAAAACTTTACACACTGCAAAAAAAATGAAGACTTTTTTTCTTAAAATACATGCAATAAATACATACATTTTTCTTGAATTAAGGATTTAAGTGAGGCACTTTGCCAATGGAACAAGACAATTCACACTTAAAATAAGAAAAAACAATTGCATTTTCTTATTTCAAGTGCATAATATCTGGATACCTTATTTTAAGAGTAAAATTGCTCATTCCATTGGCAAATCATCTTATTTATCTGCTCAAATTAAGGGTAAATACCCTTAATTTAAGACATTTTTACTCATTTTGAGATCCTTTTTGCAGAGCACTGGAAAAAATCAAAATCTAGATGACTCATTTCTTAAAATGAATCATTTTTTTCTTGAATTGAGGAGGTAATTGAGACAATTTGCAAATGGAACTAGATCATTTCTGTTTAAAATAAGAAAAAAATATTTCATTTTCTTATGTTAAGTGGACATTATCTAATTATTTTAAGAGTAAAAATCTTCATTGCATATTCAGATAGATTTATTTTCCAACTCAAATTAATTTAAGACATTTTGATTTATTTCTAGATCGTTTTTACAGTATAATGGACGTCTGTTCTAAAATAAAACGTAAGCTTTTCTTTAAACCCTCAGTTAAATTCATAGACTTTTTAGAAGATTTTTTAAATTTTTAAAATCCAAAAACAGCCATTTGGGTCGGTTTGTTCATTGAATGCATCATCAGCCATGTTTGAGTAGTTTGGAAATCTCATCGGTTTTTATTTTTTGTAATGATTTATTTTAGTTTGAATTTCTTTTCAGTATTTGTTTGCTAATTTAGTTTTTATCATTTGCAAATGCTTACGGTAGTTTTTTTTTAGATTCAGGTAATATAATTGGGTAATATGTGTTACATAAAGGGGGACAAAAATGAAAGACGAAAATAAGAAAAAAAAAAAAAGTAAAAAAAAAATCCTAAAAAAGGAAAAACCCCCCCACCAACAAAAGAAAAAGCTAAAAAAAAAAAAAAAAAAAAA